CCTCCCACCCCCCTCCCCTCTAGAACCCTCAGTTTGTTTCTCAGAGTCCATAGTCTCTCATGGTTCATCTCCCCCTCAGATTTCCCCCCCCTTCATTTTTCCCTTCCTACTATCTTCTTCTTCTTTTTTTTTTTTTAACATATAATGTATTATTTGTTTCAGAGGTACAGGTCTGTGATTCAACAGTCCTACACAATTCACAGCGCTCACCATAGCACATACCCTCCCCAATGTCTATCACCCAGCCATCCCATCCCTCCCCACCCCCCCCCAGCAACCCACAGTTTGTTTCCTGCGATTAAGAATTCCTCACAGCACATACATGCAAGAATACATTCTTATAATAAAAATGTGCATCACAAAGATAACATTAAGATACCTTGATTTTCAGCCCCAATCTTTATTTCTTCCCAAGAAGTAGATAGGGTCATAAACTCCTTTTTTGGGGGGTGGGGAGAGCACATGAGCGTGAGAGTGTGTTAGCAGGGGGGAGGGGCAGAGGGAGAGAGAGAGAATCCCAAGCAGGCTTCATGCTCAGCAGTATGGAGCCCAACACCAGACTCGGTATCACGACCCGGAGATCATGACCTGAGCAAAAACCCAGAGTCTGATGCTTAATAACCAACTGAGCCACCCATGTGCCCCATAAATTTCCAAATGTTTTAATAATTTATCTATATACACATTTATGTACCTAAAGAAATATATAGGTTTTTCTCATGTCTGTGTGTTTACATAGGTGGTATTACATTGTTATTATTCTGTAGCTGTGTATGGAGATAAATGGTATCACACTGTTCATATATCATTCTGTGGTTTCCTATTTAATGGTATGTGTTAGAGACCTTTCACATTTAGGTTGAGTTCATCTTCTTTTAGCAACTTTCTGGGATAGATTTGCTCATATTGCTAGAACTTTGTCTCTGTGAGAATTGAACTCTAACATTGCTTGGTGTTTTGTTAACCTACCTTATGGTGTCCTTGTCAGGACCTGATCATGGGACTTGTGGAATGAGTCAGGTAGTAACTTATTTTTTTCTATGTCCTGGAAAAATGTTAGGTATGTAGGATTTGCCTTTTCCTTGAAAATTTGGTAGAACTCACCTATAAACCTATGTTGGGTCTAATCTTTTATTATTTTTTTTTCAATTTCTTCCAAAGTCACTGTTCAGTTTAAGTATTCTCTTTTTTTTTTTTTTTTTTTTTCTGAGTCAAATTTATTTTAACTTTGAAAAACCCATCCAATTTATTTAGGTGTTTAGATATTTTGGTTAAAATTAAACATAGTATTCTGTCATGTGTTTTTCTTCTGTTTGTAATTACACCTCCTTGTCATCATGCACATTGTGAGTTTATACATTTTCCTCATCCTCTTCCTTCCCCATCCTTCTCTCTCCCCAACACTTGCCAAATGCTTATCTCATATGTGAATATTCAGAAAGCAATGAAATTTTACTGATCATTTTTAAACAATTTTTGGCTATATATTACATACCTAGGTTTTGATGTACAGTGCTCCCACCTTTCATTTCTAAGAAATTTATAATTTTTGCTTTGACTATTTTGCTTTACTGAAGAATTATTTAGAAGTCTGGTATGTTTATATTGAACTTGTATGCATATAGATTTTATGCGCTCTCATTAATTTGTAAGTTGGCCTAGTTGGGGCCAATGAGCATGGCCACCTTAATTTCTGCCTTTTGAAAAATGCTGATGTTTCCTCTATGGCCCAATTATGATTAGATTCTGAGATTATTATATGTGTGTGGGGGGTACCTGGAATACAAAGAGGGAGTGAAGAAAATATATAATAATAATATATTATCTGTTATACTCAGGATTCAATATTATATATGTATATATGTAAAGAAAGAGGCAGGGGCATGTCTAAATTCAGTAATGTGTTTAAGTCATCTAAACTGTTTTGATTAAACTAGTCAGTGTGATATTCAAATCCTCAATATCCTTACATTTTTGTCTCATTCCATTAATTTCTGAGAATCATTCATTGTCTCCTAATATGTTTGTGACTTTGCCAAATTTCTTTGTAATTTACCAGTTTTTCAGTATATGTTCTGATGCTATGTACTCACATGCTTTAATGTTAATGACTATTAAATAATTGTGATCATCCCTTTTCCTAATATGATTTGTCACTGTCTCTTGCTGTTTTCCCTGAATCTGTTTTGTCTGCTACATTACTGTGGACCCCTGTTTGCTTTCCTTCCTAGTATGTGTCTATTAGATCGTTTTGGTTTTTTTTTCATACCTTCATTTTCGAACTTCCTGTGTCATTTTTTAATAAATATTTCTGGTAAATAACTATAATGTTATTTACTGTCAAAGCCTCTGTCTTTTCTTTTTATAAGTGAATTTAGCCAACTCATATGTATTATAGCTAGGGATATGTTGTCATTTTATTTGGTGTTTTCCATTTATAGTGTGTTCTTTTTCCCCTCCCTCCCCTCATCTGTCTTCTTTTTAAAGGGGACTCATGTTTCTTTGTTCTGTTTTCCCCCTCTAATAGTGCACAGGTTTTACTTTCCATTTTTAATTTCCTCTAGGAAAATTCTTAAATTTTTAAACTTCTATTTTTTTTTAACATTTTATTTATTTATTAGAGTGTGTGTGAGAGAGAGAGAGATCACAAGAAGGGGGGTAGAAGGAGAAGCAGGCTCCCCGCTGAGCAGGAAGCCCAAATGCGGGGCTCGATCCCAGGTCCCCAGGATCATGACCTGAGCTGAAGGCAGTTGCTTAACCAGCTGAGCCACCCAGATGCCCCTTAAACTTCTATTTTTCTGCCAATGTCTAGAGTCTTAAATACCGATATTCCACTCCCAAAATGGTTGACCTCCCTTTGGTCCGTACTTCCTTTCCTCTCACCACGTCAGTTGCCACAACCTCTGTATTGATATAATCAGCAATTTGGGAGCGAAATTACTATAATTTCTTTATCTTTATCTTTTTTTTTTTTTTTTTGAATAGTAAGTAAAACTTAAGAGCGGATTTCTTTTTTTCTTCTTCTTTCATTATGTCTGCATTATTTCCTCTATCCCTTTTCTACATTTATTTTTCTTCTTGACAGAGCATGTAACACCTTAAATCTTTCAGAGTAGGTCATTAAATCTTTCTTATAACTTGCAAGTCCATAAATACCTCTATTTTCTCCTAAACATTAAGCTATTAGTTGATTGGACACAATTTCAAGTCCAAAATTATTGCCCCTCAGGCTTTTGAGGTTGCAATACTGCGGACAGTATGCCTGATTTCCATCTGCTTGTCATTCACCTCTGAATTGTCTTCTTTCTGTGCATCTCTGAGGAATTTTGTAACTTCTCTTCATATCTTTTGTCTCAGTGTCCCCCAAAGGTATGTTTAGATGTATGTATCTCCCCTCCGCCCCCCACCATTTATACTGCTTGCATTAGTGGATTTTTTTCAAATGAGGACTCAGGTATTCACACTGAGGACTCAAATCTGAATATGCAAATATCCAGATTTCAGAAGTGTTCTTCCACCGTTGCTTTGATTAGTCCTTCCATTGGCTCTGCTTTCTTGCCTTTTAATAGAAGAAGCTGTTCTGTTGGGTCATGGTTGAACCCTCAGCTTCCATTTCTCACCTCTCTAAATTTTTCCATTGTGCTTTCTTTTTGTGTTGCGTTCTCTGAGAATCCCTTGGCTCAGCCCTTCATCTGACTTCTCTTTATAATTCAGCTTACCTGTTAAGAGTTTGATTTCAACAATCACTTTTAAATTTCTAGTTAATTATATTTTTGGAACTGAATGCAGTGTTTCCTCCCACACTTACTAGCCACACGTAAGCCAAAGTCAGGTTCTATCGGTCCTTTTAACTCTGTTTTCTCGGGTGTCAGTTCTGCTTACTGGGTTTGGTGTCCATCTTCCATGTTCTTGGCATCGCTTAAATATTCGGTAATTCTTTGTTGGATGCTGACCTTTTCATTGAAAATGTCCTGCTTGCAACTACTACAGGTACACCATGGTGCGTAATGCTAAGAAGTGTGGGTAGAAGGAGTGCCCACTTCTTCCTGAGTGCAGGCAGCCACCCTGAAGAATGCCTGTGCTCCCTTTCAGTGTCATATGCTGCCCATGCTAGAAAGCAGACCTTTTGCAGTTCCCTGAGGGGCCCATGTGAGGAAGGGGTGAGAGGGCTTTGGAGAGAACCAAGAGCAATAAAAAATACCAGTTACTCCTACTTGATTCTGCAACCCAACAACCAGTGGACTCCACTGTCCACGCGTCCCCCTTTAGGCTCATAGTGTAGGCTTGTAGAACCACCCACACTTTGCAGCAGGCCTCTCCTGTAAAGAGGGTCAGGTTTGTGGATTATTTTTTCTGTTGCCATCAGATTAAAATATATATCTTATTATCTTATATGATTTGAAGAGGGAGGGGAAGCTTCCCAAATGATCACCTCTGGTTGATCACCTTGCTATGGATATTACAGTTGACCCTTGAACAACGTGGGAGTTATAGGAGCTCTGACTTTCCACGTGATCAAAAATTCACATATAACTTTCAACTCCACCAGAACTTAACTACTAATAGCTTACTGTTGACCAGAAGTCTTACCAATAACATAAACAGTTGTTTACACATATTTTGTATATTATATGTACTATATACTGTATTTCTACAATAAAGTGAGCTTGAGAAAAGAAAATGTTAAGAAAATCCTAAGAAAGAGAAAATACATTTAAGTACTATGCTATATTTATTTAAAAAAAAAAATCCCCCTATAAGTGGACCCGTGTCAAACCCGTGTTGTTCAAGGGCCAACTGTGTTTCCCTAGGTTTAGAGACAAGGAGAAGGGAAGTTGGAATCGGATGAAGGAACGAAGAAGAAAGAGACAATTTATGGGCTTGTTCTACACATCTGAAGAAGAACTTTTGCAAACGCATAAATATAAAGTGAATAACTTTTGATCTTCACTTGTTTTTAAATTTTGCACGCTAATGAGATGTTCTTTTTCATTTTTTAGGTCTTGAGTGTAGTCATGGCCAAACCTTATGAATTTAACTGGCAGAAGGAAGTTCCTTCCTTTTTGCAAGAAGGAGCCGTTTTTGACAGATATGAAGAGGTAAAGAAGTGTTATTAATCTTTTCTCTCAAAACATAATTATTTCATTTTAATTACAGTATTGAGTAAATAGTCTTTGACATAAATAAGAACATCTTTGAGATTTATAAGTTGGAATAGTTGGAAAGAGGCAAGTTATGAGATATAATAATAATGATAATGGTACTGTAATTTATTGAGCACTTACTGTGTGCCAGATATAATCACGATAATGATGCTATAAATTATTGAGTGCTCACTGTGTGCCAGACAGTTTTCTAAGCACTTGTGTGTATTATTTGTTTAATTCTTCACAACAACCTTATAAGGTTGTTGCTATTATTACCCTGGTTTTACAGATGAGTTTTATGTAGTAACCGTTTTTGCCTAACGAAGTGCTTTTGGCAGGCGTTCTACATAAAACTTTGTATTTGTTATAAATGGAATAGTGATTGGACTTTGTGCTAGTCGTTTGCTTTGCTGGTTTCATTCGTACAGAACAGTTGGATGAAAGCTTTGCATGCCTGGGGTTTCTATCATTTATTATTTGCGCCCTTTGCAAGGTGGCATTGGCTCCAGACTTTCTTTAGAGCAGGGGCTTGGGGCCACCAATCTATTGGGAAAGTTTAGGTCAGTGAGTTAAAGCCTCATCAGCATTGTAAATGCATCATATTTCTTGGATTGTACTTGAGTTTGAGGTGGATTGGGCAAGGGAGGGTGAGGAGACTGTCGCCTCTAAGGCAAAGTGAAACGTACAACTTGCTAAGACTTCATCTCCACAGAATTGGTTCCCCTCGAAATCGCTGGAATGTATGCGGTGGCTGATTGTGGTGGCCCACTCAGAGGTTTGGATCATCGGGCCTTTTCATGAGGTCTGTGGACTGACATGACTCAGTACTTGTCGACTTGGTTTTTCCAAATGTGTTTCCTAATACCCTCTAGATTTATACCATAGTTGCTTTGTAAGTAAATAAAATTGAGAAAGGCAAAGGATGGGCCCCAGTGTGGTCACTATTCCTTGTACTGAATTAAAATATTGAAGTGACAGCTGTTTATAGGACAAGCTTGGCTCCTTCCCTGAAGGAACAGCTAGCCTCACTCTGCTATGAGAAGACACAGAAAATATTTCGCCTGCTGGAGGCAACCACTATTAATTCTTTGGCAGTTTTCTCTTAGTCTTTTTTTGTTTGTTCTTTTTTTCTCTCTTCCCAAATTGTGATTGTAATCTTTTGAAAATCTAAATCAGGACTTGCTTTTCTCTATTTCAAAGGATTCCATGACTCCATATTGCGGGATAAAGTGAAATACAAGGCCTTCCTTGATTTGGCTCCTGCCTAATAGCGCAACCTCATTTCCCACCAGTTTCCTACACACACTCTCTGCTTTAGCCATAAAAATTCCCTGGCAGTTCCCCCAAGATACTATTCTGTTACATGCTTTGTACATGCTGCTTTCTTTTCCTAAAATGCCCTTGTTCCTCCTAATTTGACTGACGAACTCCTGCTCATCCTTCAAAACCCAGATGAGAAATCTCTACCTCTTTGATCCCCTTCCTTGAACCATTCAGTAAGAATTGATAACTTCTTTGTGCCACCACTCACCTACCCTTGCACATACTACACTGCATTTGCATTTTATTTATTGTTTTTATGTCTTCTACTGTATTCTGAGTTTCTTGAGGTCAAAGACCATCTTTTACTTATCTTTCTCTGGGGACTATCAGGATGCCTGAAACTGCCAAACTCACTGTAGATGTAGCATTACAGAGTATTTTAGATAGAAATGTTTCCAACTCGGTCTGGTTCTATTGCTTGTTCCTTTTCTTGATAAGTGAAATGGTGCAAGTACTTGATAATCTTCAAGATCTGTATGGGGATCTGAACCTCAATAGATTCAAAATATTAGGGTAAATCATGTGACAGTTTTCATCTTTTAAATAAAAAATGACCAATATCAACAAAGTAAGTTATTGCAGTTGGCTGGTTTTATCCACTTTACCCAGAAGGCCAGGGACTGGCTTAGAAGCACTTACAAGTGTTTTTCCCAGGTAAGCCAGGTCCAGGTTGGGTACTAGAGTCACCAAGGTAATCACCATTGACCCTTGGTTATGAGCTGGTGGGACATCATTCCCTGGATCTACTAGAGTGTCCTAGAGTTTGGCAGTTTCCTCAGGCAGCATCCCAAGCACCAGAAAGCTACAGGATTACTTAAAAATAAATGCTACATGTCTTCTAATAATTCAGAGAAGGTCATTTTGAAGAGATTAAATATAATCACTGGCTGAGTATCTTGACTACTGTCATATAAGCAGAAACACATTGGAGGAAAAAAGTACTGTTTTTATGCTTTATCAAGTGAACTGTGGTTTGATGAACAAGAGGTTATTATTTTTAATTCTCAGGATGATTTTCTTTAGCTATTAATCATCACAACTCACTCATATTTAGAAAACACTGATTTGCGTGGGCTTCTAAGGGTAATTGCTTTTCACCCAGGTTCCTCTGCAAATGAGGTAGAGGTCAAAATCTTGAACAAGGATTGAATACAACCCAGCTCAGCTTTCAACTTTAAGTGATATCTTATCAGGATTTAAACAAAAACAAGTTTTCACTTAATAAAATAGATGCCTCTCTTCATAACAACGTATCAAACAAGAAAGTCACAGTATTAGGAACTGGACCGTGGCCACTTTTATTACCGTTTCCCAGTCCTGTAAGATTCAGTTCTTTGGAGACATGGCTGCTAAAATATTAAAGGCAACAAAATGCAAGCAGGAAAGGTTTGTTTCTACGGTGTATGTGAACAGCAGTGGGAAATGACAGGTGATGGCAAGCGGGAGGAGCAGAAATTCGAGAAAACACAGCCTGAGCATCCCAAAAGCGTCATAGCAAAGGGACCACTTACAAAGAGGCATAAATGCCTTCAGCACCATATGACAACTAACATTATCATGAGGGCCTTAGGGATCAGCCGAATATTAAAGTATGTTCCACGTACATGTTTAAAGAAGTCAAGGAAGGGTGTCAGGCTGTGGGTGAGCATGCACTAGGTCAGAAAAAGTGTTTACTAGTTGCTATTTTTTTTTTTTTTAAAGATTTTGTTTATTGAGAGAGAGAGTGCACAAACCAGGGGAGGGGCAGAGAGAGAGGGAGAAGCAGACTCCCCACTGATCAGGGAGCCCGATGTGGGTCTTGATCCCTGGACCCTGAGATCATGACCTGAGTGGAAGGCAGATGCTTAACTGACTGAGCCACCCAGGCGCCCCTATTAGTCATTATTTTAAAAGTATATGTTATTTTGCCAATAAATGTAATCAGTGCAACTGCATGTAAGCATTATTTTATTTCTGTATTGCTTTTGAGGTAGGCCTCATTTTTAGAGACTGTAACATAGCAGCTTGCATTGTAGCCCCTGATTATATTCCCACGCCACTTGTAAATCTGCTTTTTATCTAACTCTACTTGATTTATAAGTTACTTAAATGCAAAATGTACTTTGTTTCCTAAAGGATGCTTGTTATTCAGTCTTTAAAGCAGAGATTTTTCTATTGCAGAGGCAAGAAATAGCAGTATTTTTTAAAACACTTGCAACCCAAATGTCTCCAGCTCAGTCTCCTGACTTTCTTTTGAAAACATATTAAAAGGCTGAAGACCTTATGCCCTGGCTACACCGGGCCCTCCCCGGTCTTTCCTAGAATTCCTACCTGCTGACACTTTCTTGGTGATGACTCATATCCTCAGTGCCTTCTTACCTCTCTGTTCCCAGGACTGTTCCCTGCTCTGGTTTGTTTTGCTCTCTGAGTCCTTTGTATATATCATCAAATCCCCAGAACAAGAGTGTTGTATGAAATAAATGTTCACGTAAGATTTGGTGGTAGCAGAGGAGGATTGGAGTACACAACAAGACTCACTTCAAGATTAAACATCAGAGATGGTGCTGAACAAATTTCCTTCGCCAGGCTGACCAGGGAGTGGCTCTCATTGTCTTCTCCTTTCTCCCTCTCTTACACTGAGATGCACGTTCCAGCTTCTCTTCTCTTCTTTTTTTAATCGCCCCCTCAGCGTCCTTTTCCAATTTACCTATGTCTTCTTTTCCACATGTCTCTTCTCCAAATTAAAAAACAAAAAAAAAATTTTTTTTTTTCTTTCTCTCAAGCAAAACAGAAAATTTTAGTCCCTTTTCATCCTGAGCATTTTGGAAGCGAGAGTTTGAAGTAAAAAGGGAGCCAGACTTTCCTGAGACCTTCACTTTTGCATAACCTTGCATAATCCTTCTAGATAAGTGGTCACCAGTGGAGCTTTGCCTAATGAAGATGGTCTGTATCTGTGCTGCCCATTAACCACGTGTGGCTGGCCGGTGCTTGAAATGTGCCTGGTGGGCTTGAGGGACCTGGGTTTTTCACTCTAATTTTAACTTAAACTTACCCAGCTGCATGTAGCCAGTGCCTGTCTTACTGGGCAGCACCATTCTCAACAACAAGCTCAAACTACAACCAGATTTCTCAACACACAGAGTTCTCAGTTCACTTGGTGGGAATCTACAGTTTGCTTCAGCCATTTCTTCTTGGTGGCAGCCAGAGCAGAGATTTAAGTATTGTGTAGATGATTCACCTCAGGTCCCCGTCCTTCCCACGTCCCAGATCCCCAGGGGGGGCCACCCCTTTTTCTCACCCATGGGACTTTATTGTAACTGAGGCAAGCTGCCCGGGTAGAGCCCCCTATTCTGGCAAAGCCTTGGTCTTTCTCCTAGCTCCTTCCACCCTCTACCCCCTAACCCCCTCCCCCAACACACACTTGGGTGGAATCTTTAGGTGCTTCCAGCTGTTACCAGGACAAGGGAAACAGTTATTGCCGTCACCAGACCCAGTGGAATATCAAAGTGCAGGATCAGGACCAGCCTAAAGTAGGGCCGAGTGGGACAGGCTGACGTTGCCTCTTTCCAGGGCGGCTCTGAAATCGAGTGGAGGGCCATGCAGCGAAGCTCCGAAAGGCCCAGACAGCCTACACATCCCAGGCTGTTCAT